TCGCTCTATCGAGGAAAAGTTATATCGCGATAATTATCGTTATCGATTTATCGCCCAGCCCTAGCCTAAGGATAAGACCTGAACAGTGGACTTCTTTTTACATTCGTGGTTGGCACTTAAATAGAACGATCAAAACCATTCCTGTTATTATGCGTTTGTGTTCGATTTTGCATGTATTGCCATCTCGCAATTCCCAGAGTATAAAAAAAATGAATATAAGCATGCATATCATGACCCTCCCAAGCATTTTTTTTATATATGATATATAGTTGTTGCATATATGTATGTATGTATGTATGTATGTATGTATGTATAAAACTGCTGTCAAATGACTAATAATCATGGTTAATTGCATTCTTTTGTGTAGTTAACTTACTTGTTCAAATATGACCCCAAAGAGAGATGTTTTCTATTTAAGAAGCAGTCTGTTTTGTTGTAGTTATATGATTGGACAAAAAAAAGCTGGTGAGAATGTATTCATTGCTGTCAGTAATTCAATAACATTTTTTTTCATTGTGTGAATGGAAGGTTCACATGAACCTGAATGTGACACATAGATGAAAGCAGTGTGATCCAGCTTCTTATCACCAACATTCAGTAAGAGCAACAGTGGCTGCACGTTCAGTTCCTCTGGGATTGTGGTCTTTAGCTCTCATACTGTTATGTTCCATGTTTTGAAAGAACTGTAGCTTTCCATTTTGCTGTTGCCAGTGTGGTTTGCTAGTTTACTGACATTGCCACATCAGTGGTGTGTTTTGTCGGTAAAGGGTACTTCAGACTTGATGTAGTTCAGTGATAAACAAATTCATAGCTTAGCAGTAGCTGGAAATAACTTTGGTTTTACAAGAGAGTCATAACAAAACTTTGCATTTAAAAAATATATATTTTAAACATTGTAAACTTTTCCCTGTGCAAACGCACATACATCATTACAATAAATGCAAATAAACATATCACTGCTGTTGGAACAAAACCTTTTATCTCCATTTTTATTGTTTTTCAGTTTTTGTCATAATTTGAAAATGTTGTCCTTTATATTGTGTGTAAATTTCATGATGAATGGACCAAAAGAAGCAGTCCAAAAATATATGGGGTCTGGTTCCATTGACTTATTAAAGCATGTTTTTTCCTTCTTCTGTAAAACTATAATTTTGGAGATACATAGTTTTGTTCCGACAGCAGCGGTATGCAAATAAACAAATGTATTATTTTTAAAAAAGTAGTTGATATCTTATGAGCTAGAAGAACAAAGTTTGGTTCCAGATTTCTCCTGGATGCCTCCAGCCATCACATGGGTCTGTTAAATTACATCACCAGCACACTTGATTTAACATAATGAAATATTGATTAGCTGAACCAGTTGTGGGATGACAACACAGTACTGTATTTAGAATAGATATGGGACATATGTACAACTGTGTGTGCGTGTGTGTGTCTTTTTATGCATATGTGCCTCTAATGTGAGCCATATGTGTTGCATCAGTTCTTATTAGATTCTTTAATAAACCTGCTGCACTGTCAATGCTGAGATGGGGAGAGATGCAGACATCCTCACTGAGGGCCATTAGAGCATTTTATAACTTTGTTGAAGATAACTCTATTCTATGTCATTTCCTTTTTGCCAACCCCTCATTTTATCCCAGCCTGAGTGAGATTGCTTTCTCATGCTGCTCTTAGTTAAAAACACACAGCTCAAGCTTAATACTCTTTCAACCAACCTCGCAAATGGTGGATAGTGTTTCAGGGATTGTGTTTCTTAAATGATTCAGCTATAATAGTGTCTCTGTAGGTAGTGCCACGTTATGTGAATTTGTTCTTACAATGAAATGACGTGGGAGTGTGTGAGCTGTTTCATTTCCAGGTTAAGATGATGACAAATGTTGAATTGAATACATTTTTGTTAGTATAACGTCGTAAGATTGTTTTAAATGGACAATATTTGATCATTGTTTGGTTGTATTGAGTAAAGATACTCGACTAATTGTTATGTTTAATATTAATCCATTAGTTAGTGAGATTGTGATCTAAAATATTAATTGTCATAGCTTTATTTCCAAACAGGTTTGGGCGCCCCTAGTTATATTAAATGTTTTGTTGATTTTAAAATAAATGCACATCCACTACAGGGAACACACTTCTGAACATATGATGAATGAAGCTTAAATGACTTTTTAAAAGTCAGTAAGAATTTTGAGTCAGAATTGTTCACAGTGGTGGTGATAGGAACTAGACCTCTGAGAAAATCACCTGACAGAAAGATGTTATATGAAGTGGTTATGAATTTCCTGATGCTTAAAACATTGTTTTATAGTAGTTCTGGCTTTAAATGTGTGCTTTTTTTTTTTTATTATTATTCATTCCTTGCAGACAGATACAGGCAGTGTGTTGCAAAATAGTCCCCAAAGAAAACTTACTTTTTCTGATTTATGACTGGTTTACTATTATTAATATTACGTATAAAAACATACATATAAAAATGTGTGCAGACTCAGTGGTTGTTTTGTACAGTAAATAAAATGGCTATATTTGTGTTGTAGACATTATGACCTGTGGTTCCTTTCACATCTCACCAATTTAATAATGCAGACAATTTGAAAACTCAGTGGAATTCCCTTTTAATATGGCCAGTGATGTGAACTAACAAGGTTAAAAAAACAACCACAAAAGGTCAAGGACTAATAATCATGGTTAATTGCATTCTTTTGTGTAGTTAACTTATTTGTTCAAATATGACCCCAAAGAGAGATGTTTGTTTTCTATTTAAAAAGCAGTCTGTTTTGTTGTAGTTATACTGTTTTGTTGTAGTTATACTGAAAGCGCACATATAAGGAAACAACAAGAAAACAGAAAGAAGAAATTTCTTCTTAAAACCCACTTACATAGTTTTCACGAAGATTCTAGCATTCACGAGTGTTTTCTTATTTGGGGTAAGAACAAAATCTACACACAAGAGCACAAAGATGCGAACAGTTCTGCGGATTAAGAACACGTCATGGATCTGATTTAGACTTTTTCTGTGTTTTTCCTAAGAACAAATTTAAGAAAAAAAACTAAAAGATATTAGTGTGCGAGGCCCCAAGTTATCGTGTTCTAGTTATGAGACTTTTGTGCAGCTGTGGTGATATGTAAGGTTTTATGTGGGTTTGAGTTCTTCAGATATTGTACTTCTTCTATATTTATGCATAATGTTCTCCATTTTATACATTGTAGTTATTGTAGCATTATTTTCTAGTCGCTGTTTGGCCTTAGGTTTTCGGGGCTTTGTCAGTGCTTGTGATGGACTATATTAACTGCAACTAGGTTAGTGAGACCCTTCCCCCAGTGCCCACATCACTGCACATACAGACATGCATGAGCGGAGTGAGCACAAACTGGATGCAATGTGTTAGTTTGTGTCAGCGTATGTTGAGTATGTCAGGTCATGGGCTGTATATTAGGATTGTGGTATGGCCTGCTTGCATGTGGTTTGCTTCAGATGTTACTCTTTGATTTAACTAAGATTGTAGATGAAGCATTGCGAAATCATCTGTAAGTGCCACTAAAATGAATGAGTGGGTGATTGGCCATTGTTTATAATTTGTCGCAGCACTTTTCGAGACATGTAAACATCTCAGAATGAAATTCTGAATGAGGCCAGTCCATAGTTTCGTAGGTCCAAACTTTGACCAGATGAGACAGCAACTTGTTTGTGCATCGCATCTCCTGCCTCTGAAATGATGACCTTTTCAAAAGATGTGCTTAACTTTTTGATATACGTTAAAAGTACAGGGTGATTCAAAAAGATTCATCCGATTGCAAAATGATTTATTTCACTTGTTAAACTAGTTTTATTACGCAACAGTGAGCAATCTCATGAGGTCAGACATGATCTCATAGCGAGAACTTCTCGGGACAACCTAAAAAAACTCCAGTTAAGATGTAGATGTTTGTCATGTGCATAAAACACATTACATGCAGTAACAGTAAACCTATAAAAACCAGTAATACCTCTTGCTGGGGAAAAACAGATCTGTTAGTTAACGATAGCATTTTGCTTGATTGTTTGTTTTGCTTGTGTTATCGATAGTGTTCCAGATGTTCAAAAAGCACTTGGAGGTGGGTTTTAGAGGGGGTATTCCCTTGTTAACTGTGAATTCCGCTGCAGTTAGAAGTTTAACAAGTTGTCCCCAGATGTGTGTTTGTGTCTCCACAAGACTACCAGTGACCCTACACATGTAGTCGGAGTTTTTTGTGTAATGTTTAGAGTGGTAAAAATGATACACATCAAAATGAAGTTGTCCTTTGGTACTCTTGGCCCTGCAAGGACTTTAGGTTTTTTACAAATACATTTTAGGGCTAAACCTTATCTCAGAACTATCGTAAGGTCTCAATCATCAGACAACATACTTATTCCATTTAATAACTTTTTCTGTGAGGTAACTTTTAGAGGCATTAATCACTTTGGACGTCTTGTTCTTATTGCCACCACTGTGAGTCAGTCTGACATTTCATATCAAACCACCGTGAATGACTTTGTTTACATGTGAACAAATTTAATTATGCAGAAATATTTGAAAAATCTGTGGAATTCCCCTTTTAATGCAACAAGATTTTATTTTTATTTCTTCGTCCATTTCTATTTGCCCATTTGTCATGAAATGACCGCAGTATGGAAAGTGCAGCTGGTGTTTTCAAATGGCATGAAAATAAACACATTATGAGGAGTAATTGAAATCAGTGAAGGAGGTTGATGGTTAGCATGGGTGCACATTAAGCTTCGATGATGATGATGATGATGATGATGATGAAAGCTGCTTTATGTTTTTTTCTTTTGCCTTTCTCCTGACCTGCTGAAGGGCTGAAGTATGCCTGTTATCTCAACAAACTGCCGAGCGCTCGTGTTCTGATAAACATCCTCCGGAAAAAGAGACTATTGATTTTTCTGACCAGGATGGAACTGATCTCTCTCTCTCTCTCTCTCTGTCTCTCTCTCTCTGTCTCTCTCTCTGTCTCTCTCTCAGGCTGAAAGCACTGGTTTCGACCGGCGGCCGAAATGTACAGGCGGCCTGTGATTGGTGAGTAATCACTCGTGCATGCACACACACACACACTATGAGAAAAGTGAACATAGCCATTTGGCAGTTGGTTTTATGAGTCTGTTAAGGCCATGTCCTTCTGTGTCTTTGGAAGTTAATCACAGTACTCCGCACACTTATTTTGAGTACTCCATTCTGACATACAGTACTGTCTAAAAGTCAGGGACCACCCTTGATTTATTTTAATTTACAGTTAAAATGGCTGTTAAGGCCATCTTACAGCATTAGGAAAAACAGCAGAAAACATGTATTTAACAGAAACTTGCACAGTTGCCTCAACAACTAAATTTCAGGAGACATGCTTTCAGTTTTTCAAAGAAATCTGCATAGTTTTCCACACTTCCACAAGAGTTACACATCCTTTTAGACATGTAGCATCAAGCTTCTCACAGTAGGCTAGACATTTTGGATTTTTTCAGATCTGAAAAAAGATTTTCTCCTCTTTTTTCTCCATTTCTTCTAAAGATTGAAGCATTAATGTGCCGGGATCAGTTTTTGTGCTCTACCAGGTCTTTCACTGTTGTTAGGAGTGGTTAGGAATTTCTCTGTATCTTTTGATCACATTGTTTTAAATTGGGTTTTGGAAACCTTTGTCTTTTTCTTTTACTACCCCTTCCTTATGCAAGTGGATCATCTTTACATTAAACCTCCTCAGAAATATCTCCTGCAAAATGAAAAACTTCTTAATGGCCACTGTGACAGCAGAATAAATAAATGAAGGGTGGTCTGTGACTTTGGATGATACTGTATTTTTAGGAAATTCCTGAATGATTCACATTTTCTCTGCTAATTGACTATATATGAATATATGCATATGTACAAAACATACACATACATGAATACATATGTATATTCTGCGTATGTGTGCTTTTTGTCAAATATCTTTATGAAATGTTTTTGGATATGAGTTGAACTTCTTTAAAGTGGTGACCCCATGCAAATAACTTTCTTGAAATGAGTCACACAGACCTCCATTTTGCCAGTAAACAGCTCACTGTCTTGAACATTTTGCTAACGGCTATGTTAATTAAGGAACTATATGGTGAGATAAATGTCTGACGGTACTGAACATGAGATGGATCTGCCAGTTAAGCATTTTTGGCTCATACTGCCTGATTCCATTTAGCGGTCCATTCACCAGAACTGATTTGGGTCCAGAGGTCTTTGCAGTAATCAGAAAGTCTGGAATCTGCACATTTCATGACTCATAGTTCCAGCGCTACTGTTAATTTTTGTGACTATCCACTGCCCTCTGCTGGCAAATATGACAATATTCTTCCCATGAATGACAGTGCAGAGATAGGAGATGGACCTCAAGATAGCCAGAAATAAATCTGACCCCTGTACACAAAAACATATGTAATATTATTGATTTTAGTAATAGTGGTTAATAGTATTTTTGCATTACCTGATAAAATCCAGCCAAGCCTTAATAATGAGCATGACATCTTTTAACTCGGCATGAAAATAGTTTCTTCAAAATAAAAAGGTTAATGTTAGCTGCATCCTGTCAGTAACTAAAAATTAAGTTACTCAACTTTTGTAGTTTTGTGAAAGTTAAAGAAGAATTCTACTGCTTTTAAACGTTTCAGTCATTTCAAGGGAGCAGTCGTGGGCTGGAGGGAACCAGCCTTGCGACCAGAAGGTCGCCGGTTCGATCTCCTGAGCTGACAGTACATGACTGAGGTGCCCCTGAGCAAGGTGCCTTATCCCCAACTGCTCCCCGGGGCGCTGCGGATAGGGCTGCCCACCGCTCCGGGCAAGTGTGCTCACTGCCCTCTAGTGTGTGTCTTCACTAGTGTGTATGTGGTGTTTCAGTGCACAGATGGGTTAAATGCGGAGGCGAAATTTCCCCATTGTGGGGCTAATAAGGGTCACTTAATCTTAATTTTAAACATTATAATCATTAAGATATAAACAGTCTTTCCAAGTGGTTTAATGTGCTACTATAGAGAAACAAGTCAGTACAGCTCAGAGTTGTAGTGATAGGAACCAGATTTCCAAGCATTTAATGCCTTCATAAGCTACTGAACCGAAAACTGCAGCGTGAAATGGTTACAGATGGGTTGCCTGTTGTTTGAGACGTTGTTTTACAATAATTTTGAGAAGCTTTTGGCCTAAAACATATTTGTTTTTCTTACTGTATGTACCACTGCTATTATCATCATTGATTCATTTGGTTGGTTATAGGAAATAAAATTAACTGGCTGTCTCACCAACACTGGCTTTAGCAGGGTGTTGCTTGAGGTAACAAGGCAAATTCAACTACTTCTCACCTTCTGTCTCCCTCTCCAGGTTGTTCTCCCATGTGGACGACCCATTCCTGGATGACCCCTTGCCGCGGGAGTATGTGTTGTACCTGCGGCCAAGTGGGCCTCTGCTCCACCAGCTCTCTCACTTTTGGCAGCAGAGTCGGGCCATGTGCGGCAAGAACAAGGCTCACAACATCTTCCCCCACATCACCCTCTGCCAGTTCTTCATGGTCAGTCTTATTTGCCTTTGGAATATGATTTATGCTTATCATGCTTGTGGAGTTTAGTAAAAAAATGAAATTTTAATTAAACACAATTAAGGCTATGACATAACCACCTGGTTGCCGTTATTTAGGCTGACCGTAACTAGTTTCCACAGTTGTTTGCGGAATGTTTACATCTTGAGAAACAGAATGTGAACTGGGTGCTTTTTCATTAGTCCACTTGAGACAAATACATGGAAATACGGAAGGAAAAGTAGAAAAAGAAAAGAAAAACAAATATATGATAAGACACATTACGGGTCTTTTCAAAAACTACATATCCTTACCCATGACGGGTGTTATAACATGTTAACAGGGCAGTGGTGAGCACTGAGCTCTAGCTGTGTCTGTGGGGTGACAAAATGTTGATAACTAGAACACAAAATAGTTAATCAGCCAATTTGGCCACTTTAGTTACTTGTATGGTAATAGTTGCACAAAATGAACAAAAAAGACGTGTTTATCGCAGTTATTTATTTCATGATCATGACAGATATCTGGTTACGTGTCAAACAGACAGAATAGAGTTTTATTTTGCACCATAATTTTTTTTCCTCTTTATCATATTATAAGGAATGTAGGCATATAAACATAGCAATGTAGGCTGTAGTGCTGTGTACAGTGATTGTTTCTGAAAAGGCCTTAAAATAAAATACCACTGTCAGTCCACTGCAAACATTTAAAATGCAGTGTTAAATAACTGATACATTTTAGGCTATTTAAAATGTCAATTAATGAATAAAAAGCTCTTTATCCACCAGTGCAGGACAAGGTTAAGATTGTGCCCTTTGTAAAAATCCTGAACTTGGCTGTAAGAATAGATGGTTGATCCTGGTCTCTTTCTCATTTCGAACATATGTGTGTGCAGTGTGCAGATGCAAAGGTGGAAGCTCTGTGCGAGTCACTGCAAACGGTGGTGGGACAGTGGCGAGGCCGCTTCCCCTCCCCTCTCCCCCTGGAGCTCTACACCTCTTCCAACTTCATTGGGCTCTTTGTGGATGAGAAGGTGGCTGAGGTGCTCAAGAGTTTCGCAGCTGACTTTGCCGCTGAGGCTGCTGCGAAAGCAGGTATGCATGTGTAAGACTTTGGTACCCCTAAAATGACAGTTTGGCAAAAAAACGAATCTACACATTTTCTCCACTTACCTCAGTTGTAGCCAATCAGCCAAGAAATGTTTAATGCCCGAAGTTTGCTTCTTTAGAGGTAAAAGGTTATTGTAGCCATTGGAAGCTTGTGTTAGTATTGTGCATGCTAAATGCCTAAAAACTCAAAGCGCATCAAGAAACCTTAAATAGACTTACTTATGTGGTTGTTGTCACTGCGAAACATATTGTTATGTAATAAAATAGACAAATGTACAGCAAACTTCAGGCTTTAGTCTGGCCACTACTACTGTTTTTAACTCAGATAGCCTGGATTGCAGTATCATAGTCCAATGTTCACATCAGCATTAAGGTTACAATTACTTGGGTCAAAACAAACAACAAAATCTTCCTTGCAGTTAGTGCCATGCAGAACAGCAGTGGTCTAGTAAAGTGGGCTCATTCAACTTAACAAATGCTGGCCAGCAAGACAGAAATCATTCCCCACTTTTGAAAGGCACTTTAAAGATATTTTATTTTCCTTGTAAATAAGCTATAACCAGTATGTTGTACTTTACAGTAGTCCTCTTTTGAACTTAAAGACAAAGGAACTGTCTTTAACTGTCAGTTCTGTTTTCAAAAAACAGGTGCTCTTATCTGTTACCAGCTTTTCTGTGGTGTCAGTTTGAGTAAGACTGCTATTACCAAGGGAGCTCTGGGTTTTATTATACTTTCTATAATTCGCTTTGGAAATAGTAATCAGTAGACTACAGACACTACAGACTCATACTGGATTAAAGTCATGGATCTCCTCAGTAACTGGTCAAATTACAGCACCTCCGTAGATACAACTAATCCAGCTTGAATAGGGCTTTTGAACCAAGTGTGATGATTTAGGTATGCAGTTTGTGCAGTGCTAATTGGTAGGGTGTAGCAAAACTAGTGCTTTGCCAAAAAAAGCAACACCAAATATGTCTTGGCTGATTTTGTTCAAAATGGTGTATATACACTTGTAACAATTTTTAATATAACAAGTTTTGAATATAATGGCAAACACATTTTATTTCTCTAATAAAAGGACCAGTCATAGTACAGTTTAATGATATTTCTTATATTTGTAAAGCCCGCAACCAACAATGTAGATCATGAAAGAAAACAAATTAGAATATTAGAATGCAACCCTTTATTTGATGTTATGCATATTGTAAAATCAGAATGCACCAATGATATTTTGCCCATTTTATGCAGCCCATGTGTCAATTACTGCTAACACAGGTTTTTAGAGGTGAAGCATCTCGTGGACCTGGCTTGTAACTCAAGCACACACGTTTAGCAGGCTGAACCCCACAAGGGGGAGCTGTTAGACCTCAAATAGCTTTTGATGCTTCACAAGAGTGGTGCTTTGCATCATTGACAATGTGTTGTCTAAGAAGATATTGATGTCTGTTTTTGATGTCACTCAATTTCCCCTGCACTGCTCAGATGTCCATGTGGAGCCACACAAGAAGCAGCTGCATGTGACTTTGGCCTACCACTTCCCCACCAATCACCTCTCCTCCTTAGAAAAGCTGGCCAGAGGCGTGGATGTGTCACTGGGCTGCGATTGGCTCGCCGTTCTCTTCTCACGGGACATCCGATTCGCTAATCATGAGGTATGACCCCTCCAAGATCTAAAGTCTTGAGAGATTGAAGGAAACCCTTAAGTGCTAGCAGATGTTATGCTAGCAGACGGCTAGTGGAGGGAAGGCTCTGTTGGTTTCAGTGGGATGTGAATCCTATATATAGATCAAACAGGCTAGGTGGAAGCACTTAGCTTTTCTGGACGGTGTTTAGGAGTATAAATGGTGTCAGTCCCACATCTCTTGGCAGGATGGGCCATGCATTTATAGCACTTTGATTTCTGTGTGTCTGCGGTCTCTCCAGACTTTACCACACTGTGGTTCTGAGGCCTCGAACGCTACCCAATATGAAAGTACTCGGAGTATAGCTTCATAATGAGTGGCGAGCCATTTTAATTGAAGAAAGTTCAACAGCAGTTTTTCATCATGCGCTTGCATGTTATGAAATGCCTCCATTCCCTTGAGAAAACCACACACTGGTATAAGACTGTTGCAACATGCCACCCCAGTGAGCTCCTCATGGAAAAGAGCAAGAATTAGGCATGAATAACTAAAGGGAAAAAAAAACACAAACACTGTTCTGTCAAACTTATTTATAATATTTAAGTGTGTAAGCAACTGACTGGATTTTAGCGTTAAGGACAAGGACAGTTCTAGATTCCGTTTGCACAGTAATCTACTATTTTCTTTCTGCATGACTCACAGAGGTCTGTATTTTCATGTATTTACCGCTTGGTTTTGAGCCTAGTATTGCACTGTATCTGCTAATTTTATTGTAGTATGTGTGGATTCTTTGCACTATGTGTCGTCTATGTGTGAGACTATTATTGAAACTTACTATCTTAAGAACTGACAAGCTTAGGATAAGGTTTTTTTTAATCTATTGTACAAAAGCAAATCTTATAGTGTCTTATAGAAATGATCTCTTACAACATCTCGTCACCAGTTAGGAAATGTTATTCTGTAATAGCTAATGTCCTGAATTCAGTCCTAATTGAAGTTGTCCTTGTTACTAAACAGACAAGATTTCAGAGTTAGGATGGCCCTTGACCACTAAACTCTGGCAGTGACTTATGTTGTGCTGAGGTCCTGGAGGACTGATATTTTGTTCCAACATGTGCTTGTATTGGGATAAGGGCAAACGTCTTCTTGACTCTTGATTTGGTTGACTTTCATGGCCTCTTTTCTGTTCTCAGACCTTGCGAGTGATGTACCCCTACGCACCCCAGAATGAGGATGAGCTGGAGTTGGCTCCAAATGACTTCATCTTCATGTCCTCAATGGAGCAGGGCAGTGCCAGCGAGGGCTGGGTGTATGGGACCTCGATGGGCACAGGGCTGTCTGGTCTGCTGCCCGAGAACTACGTCAGTCGAGCCGACGAGTGTGACACCTGGGTCCTACATGCGTGAGTCCAGAATTTAAAGGAGAACTGCACTGATGTTACCCAAACTTCTACATAATTCAATTGTTAATATGTAAACTAAATCATTCAGAGAGGTTTGATGTGCGATGCTCCGTCGCTTTACAGAGTCAGAATTGTTCACGGTGGTGGTGATATGAACCAGACGTCTGAAGAGTGTAAAGCCTCTAAAAGCTATTTTGGTGTAAAAGGGTTTGGTTTTGAGATGGTTTTAGTCTTTGTCTTTTTTTAAGCCATTCATGGTGCATGCAGGCTGTTGTAAGGCAAAGTAGTCCACAATTAAATTATTTATTTATTAGGTTTACCACTATTTCACTACTATTAACATAACATAAAGCCTCAGAAGACATTTGAGGTTCACTGCTTATTTTCGATAGCAAATAAAATGGCCATATTTGTGTTGTAGATCCTTGGTTCCCATCACAACCACTGTAAAGAAATCTGAGTCGGATTTTGTTTGCATCTTAATGACTGAATTAGGCAAACCTTCAGAAAAATTGGTGGAATTCCCCTTTAATGTCAACCTGAAATCAAAAGGACCTTTTTTGTCTTGTTAGTTTTTGTCCCTAGTCTTATCATTTAAAAGACAAAATTCTTGTTTTTCTGTAATCTTCCATCATAATGTAATGAGTTCAGCCTGCCTCTGAAACACTTTCTGATTTTTGGCTATGTTATCTCATGTTTATAGTATCACTAATAATAGCATTCACTTCTCCCTCCCACCACCCCACCTATCATCCAGCAAAAACATTTCATTCAGAAACAGGCACAGCATGCAAGGAAAATGCATTGTGATTTCCAATTCTCTTTAACTTGAAAGTCTTTCAGTAGCAATGCTAGTGATTGTATGGCATGTCTTCCTCCTTCACTCTCCTACAAGCTTTTAAATTAACAGCTGCTGGTTGTGGTGATGTAATCATGGGCAAGTCAGCCATGCAGAGAAAATGTCTAATGCACTGATGTTAGCTAAGTTACTAATAGAGTGGTAGAAATCATTTCTAGCAGCCTAGTTACAGTCCTTAACAAAAAGAACAAAACTGTCTAAGCAGCATTAGCAAATCAACTAATGACACCTAATAAAATATGAAAGCTCTGTTAAGCTGTGCCTCATTTTTGTTACATTTTCCTGTCATGTTATTTTTTGTGTTCTTAAAGACCTGGACTTTTTGTTTGTTTCACTACTGATATTATTATCTATATTTCTTGGACAGGTCCCACTCCTTCCTCAACTGCACCTCCCCCACTAATAGCGGTGGGGCAATGGGTGGATCTTTTCTTGATGGACAGCTGGATGGCCGTCTCCTTGACGACCCCAGCCTAGTGGACCCGGCTAGTCTCAATGTCATATGCCACCCGATGCAGGTGCGGAGGCTTCACTGCACAACCCATAAGCAAATATTCAAATATTTGTCAATCTAAAATATTTATACATTACTGTGTGGAAATGTTGCATCGTTTTGAATGCAGTTTTTAGATGTTAAAATGTCCTTTAAGTATTGTAAAACAGTAAATATATGTAACACACATATCTTAGGTGAGCATGCCATGAATAGTATCTTAAAGGCTGACCACTAATAATGTCTTTTTATTTTTTTGTTTGTTTTATTTTTTAACAGCCAAGTGATCTATGGTGTTATGCTTACACAGTTAATTCTACCTAGTTCAATCTCTTTAGTCAGTTTGGTCTTGTACATGTATATTTATTATTTCAGCTTGCTGAACTACAGTAAAGTGGGGAAAAATATGAAACATTTCAGGAATCAGTGACCCTGTAAAATGTCTCTTCATTTGTAGTGACAGTTTACCGCTATTGTGACTCCTGTTCTAGATGCTGCGGACCAATAGCCAGTCTCTATTGCCCAAGCGGACACTGTTTGTGTGTCGCCATGGTGAGAGGATGGACGTGGTGTTTGGGAAACACTGGATCACCCAGTGCTTTGATGCCAAAGGTTAGGGTTCAGTGGTTTGTACCTAGTAGACTTTAGCCCTATTGGAGTTGGTTTAGTTTCACCTGTGGGAGGTACTTTAGGTAATTTAAGTGATTACTGACAGGGTCTATTATTTTTGTCCAGTATGAATCTGCACTATGTACTTTTTACAGTTTGACAGCAATAACTGTGGAGCAAATGGCCTTCTGTAATTGACTGGATACTGAGCTCTCTCAGTTAAGCTGGTAATATGCTTCACACAACGCAAGAACTAATCCATATCGAACTACTGCCAAACACACTGTCTTAACTTTACAACCCAGCCCGAGTAAATGGTTGAGAGACTCTTCCAAAGCATCCATTGTTTCATTATTCAAGAAGTGTGCAGTGAATAGCAGCAGTTAAAGCCTCCTTTTTTCCAACATCCACCCTGTCTTAATTTAATCCCATGTGAATATGTTTAAATACATTATTTTGCTTCAAAACAACTTCAGTTTACTGCCTGTTTAACAGGGTTCCTGTTCCAAATCACCTCATGCTTATGTAATAATATAGCCTGATAATAGACAGGAATGCCTGTGCATCGTATTATTATTGTTAGAGTTTGTGGCGCCTGTTGCATAATGCTGATGTAAACATCCTGGTAATTACCTTTCCGTCTAGGCTATCTGTATGAATTTGGGGAAACTATACATATTTTGTCCCATACAAATCGGTTGCTTATATCTCTTATACTTCCAATTACACAACCTCTGTGCTGAGACTAATCCATGTCCAATTCTGCTTAAGAAAACTTTTCAGTATGGCTGTTTTCTGTGTATTGATATGTTATGTGATATGTGTGGGTTGCAGGGCGTTATATGCGAACCAACCTCAACATGCCATGTAGTCTTCCAGCAAGAAGTGGTGGATACAGGGAGTATGATAAGGACTGTCCCATCACTGTGTTTGGAGCCACACAGGCTCGCCTAGTCGGTCAGTAATACACAAAAACATTCAGTGCCAGTCTAAAAAAACAAACACACTATGAATATTTGCACTTACATATGGCAGTTGCTACTGTGTAAATTGTGTGTAGTACGTAAGCTCACGGAACAAAAACTTAGTCGCATGTATCATTTCTTTTCTAACACTTGGTTCTGTGTACTCTTGGCTTAATAACACAGCCAGTCCTAGGTAATCCCCAAATAATGATAACACCAGTCTCTTCAGATAGTTTCTGTCCAAGTTAGCCCGTTTCCACAAACTGTGCACAGTTTAGTCAGTTTGTATGCACCTATTTCAGCGTTTCACCTGCTGTTCCAAATTGAGAATAGGTATTAAGATCTGGTGATTTTGCTGGTCAGTCAAAATTTGCTGATTGGTTTGCTAAATTGAGGCATAAAAGATTTTGACCCTTTTCAGTTTCCATTGTTTAAGTGCTGTGTGAATACACGCAACCATGATTTATCAAGGGGAACGTGAACTGGATTCATTGGGTGCATATATTTGAGATGTGCCCTCAGGTTGCTAGTGCTGTAATGGTAAGCTAACTGTAGCTTACAAAGCTTGCATACAACTTTATCTTGAGGTTTCACAATTTTCCCATGTACTGACCTTTAAGTGCTGCTCTGAGGTATTTCCAAATAGGGCTTTTTGGATTGCATGGAATGCAAATCACTCTCTCTGTGGCCGAGTTAGGTTGTGAACTCTGCCATCATTACCACACAGTTGTTGAATAATTTGCTCGTTTCAGCTTTACCTATATTTCATTTTCAATCATGAAAGTGACGTCCTGTGACTTGTCTGTTACGCAGTGCCATCAGTGTAGCGGCGCAGGCCTATGCGAGAACTCGCAAGGCTAACAGCAGCAGAAAAAACCTGCTTTTTTCACAATCAAATATTTCCTTTTTTTTTAATTCAGTTATATAATTGAATTTAAAATCTTCATTGACAACCCTAGTGTTCCATCACTGTTGAACCAGTAACATAGACACCTTTCAGTTGTCATCCTGGAATGTGGGAATGTTAGTGTTGTTCTGCTTGGATATGAAGCACAAAGTCAGTGGAAGAGAGGGCTAAGATGGACAGGAACAATTCCAAGAGGCTGGGGTAATCCTTACCTGACGGCACTGATGCTGTTGTATTACAGAAGAAATGATGGATGTGACCAATGTTTTCCAGGGAGCGTATTAGTTTGAATTAATTATTTAACAAGATTTAACAATCCAGTTCAAGCTCAAGATTGGAACATCTTTTAATTGTAAACACAGATTAAATAAAAATGTTTGTGCTACTTTGTTTATTGCAGGTGAGGCCCTATTTGACAGTCATACGGTGATAGACTTTGTGTACTGCTCTCCATCCCTACGGTGTGTGCAGACAGCCCATAATATCCTCCGAGGTGCAGTCACCATTATCTCTCTTCTCTTCCTCTCCAAACTCTATTTAGCCCTCTGACCTCCACTTACAATGACTAAGCGCTTTGAGTCCCCGCCCCACCCCACCCCCTTTGCTTTTATTAGGTTCTGGTATACCATTCGTTCTTATCTCCTCTCTCTCTCTCTCTCTCTCTCTCTCTCTCTCTCTTTCTCTCTCTCTCTCTCTTTCTCTCATTCTCTCTCACTATCTTTCTTTCTCTCTCTCTCTCTCTCTCTCTCTCTCTCTCTCTTTCTCTCATTCTCTCTCACTATCTTTCTTTCTCTGCCTTTCCCCCCTTTCTCTCTTTCTCTCTCTCTCTCTTTCTCTCATTCTCTCTCTCATTCTCTCTCACTATCTTTCTTTCTCTGCCTGTCACTCTCTCCAAGTTCTTTACCAAGCTTTGATAAAGAATTTAAGAACATCATAGAACCCATTATATTATTAGAACCCAGAATGCATTGTGTAAATTTCCGTGTAGATATTTGAACCGTGTTTTAACTGGTTTATATATACAGGTTGGTTTTTAAATGTTAATAATATTAACAATAATCATAATAATAATAGGCTTGCATCTCTGTTGCAGTCACTCACAGTCCTTCTCTCTCTCTCTCTCTCTCTCTTTCTCTCTCTCTATCTATCTCTCTTTCTGTCTCTCTTTTTCTCAGGTCTTCAGCAGGATGGGAAGACTAAGATTCGAGTTGAACCGGGTCTCTTTGAGTGGACCAAGTGGGTGTCAGGCACTTCCTTACCTGCCTGGATCCCACCCACCGAGCTGGCTGCTGCTAACTTTAGTGTGGACACAACTTACAGGTTCTTTTTCCATTTCAAAACATTAATCACTCAATCTACTGCTCCTATTTTTTGAAACAAAAAAATCTGAGAAAAGCTGAGATGAACTTGATATGACGAGTTTCTCTCCATAATGTTTGTAACATGCAGAACTGTACAAAAGCAATAGAACACTCAAGATTGTGCGTCATGGAATAACATTATGACCGAATCACAGCTGTGATGTTAGTTGTGATAACACAATGCGATAACATTGGTAGCACACTATTTAATCAGCACTCAGACTGTGTGGTTAGAACTAACGGTTGTAAAATTAATTTATTGATATCTTAAAATGATCTAGTTTTGGATGGCATTATTTATGTTATGACGTTGTGAGAGAACTGTTGTGTGTGTGTGTGTTCTGTTGGCCTTTCTCAGAGAACATTCTCAGAGTGAGAGTGCTGATCTAGGGTCAGCCTTGGCCTCTTGTGTCCAAATACATGTGACTGAAAGGGCAGAGAGTGTTGATTCTAAGTTAGCTGAGGAATATGGGACAGTTTCAGCAGATGCAGTCTGGAGCATAAATGGCCATGTCTCTTCTGTCCAGACCTCATATTCCCATCAGCAAGCTGACTATGTCGGAGTCCTATGACACCTACATCAGCCGCAGCTTCCAAGTAACACGGGAAATCCTTACTGAGTGCAAAAGCCTGGGTGAGTAGCACTGCTGTGAGGGTTTGACTTGCAAACATTAACACCATTTAAAAGATCCCGAACACTCATCCCACCTCCCCATTACTTTGGCCTGAAGAATGAATTCATTTATAATGAATATTCACCCGTAGTTTTGGTTTATTTTTCTGTGTTTGTGGGTGAAGCATGGATAGGTCTGATGTAACTTTCCACAGACAGCATTTACTACTCTATCAGTTGGTTTTCCATATGAGGATTAAGTCTAAGCTTGGACTAACTTGCAATGTCAGTGGTGATTCACCATTGAAAATCCTTTTTACTCTAAGCTATGGCCTAATCTAAAGTGTAGAGCATGACTATTCTTTTGCTAAATACCAAAAGAAGAAAGTAAATTTGGCACCATATTGCTATTGTCTGCTAACTGTGTGGTTTTGTTAACAGGAAACACAGTATTGATTGTGGCACATGCTTCCTCTTTGGAGGCGTGTACTCGCCAAATGCAGGGTCTCAGCCCCCAGAACTCCAAAGACTTTGTACAAGTAGTACGAAAGGTCTGTGTTTATACTTTTTTTTTTTCTTTTTAATCAGATCAAGCACTGTAGGGGTAGAATTAGTTTTACAAGAAGAGGGTCTGTATTATTATTTGTAAGGGATTTGACTGGCCGATTCATACGGGTTAAGGTCAGAGGGGAACCTTTAGGGCCTTGTATCACTCATCATATTTTTGCCCTAATTGCTTACCCCTATTTCTCGGTACATCCGGGTCTATTAATATCTCTCTTTCACTCTCTTTCTCTCCAGATTCCATATTTGGGTTTCTGTGCCTGTGAAGAGATGGGTGAGACAGGGGTGTGGCAGCTTGTGGACCCGCCCATCCTGCCCCTCACGCATGGGCCCAATCACAGCTTCAACTGGAGGGAAACTTTACTGCAGGACTGAGGTGCTTCGCCTCCTTTGGTTTAGTCCTTTGGCTCCGCCTTCTATGCTCCTCCTCTAAGGGCAGCTGAGAATTGTGCTGTCAACTACGCTCTTCTTCCACACCATTGCAAGCGTGCAGCATTCCATCATGAGCAGACCAAAACACAGGCCAGGCTTCCACAGAGCAGTCCCTACGCTGCTGCAGTACACCGTGCCGGCTCTATACATCTTTTTATCTATGGCAGCAATGATATGTGTAATGTCCGTGTCCGTAAATGTGCTCATATGTCTATCCCCCCTATTAGAGTGCAAGCTTATTGGTTAGCAGTCACGGATCAAGGTCAAAGATTGCTTTGAAGAGTTGTGGCAAATTGGAAAGAAAGGAAACAAAAAGGCTCCACAGCAACACATTCTGAGCATAACATGAATCCATCAAGTCAGCTGCATTCAAATAAGGCAGAATTCACCGTACATGTACAGGTGTGGAGCTTAAAGTGGACGATGACCCACTCAGGTTTCATGTCTCTGTAAGGAGGCCATGTTGCACTGGCCACGTCACATGTTCAAAAGTGCTGAGTCATCAAAAAAAGGCTTCCAAGACTGTTGCCTGGTGGCCCGAGTCTTCTCGGCCTTGATGTTTCTCATCAAATGAAGCAGTGAGGTCAATTTGGCTGCCACCAAACACACTGTGAGATAGCATTTTGAAACATCTCCAGACAACAAAGCACAAGAGATGAACCCTAACGCAGACAATCAGAAAGGACAAGCCAGGACCACTAGGAAGTAGCCGATGCTTTTTGGACAGCTGATTGTCTCCGTGCTGTGCTGCAACTTTTCACCTAGTTCGCCTCAGGATGATGGTTGGTAAAGGGCTTATTTTAGCAATTCATGCTAATGGGGGGATAAAAAATAATCATTGTTGCATGCTAAGTATTTTCCACAAAACGAAAGCTGTTTATCGACTATCTCTGCTGAAAAGATCACATTGTTTAGGTTCCACATGGTTTATAAACGCTTAGCGGGCCCTTTACAAGCCACAGGTCAATCAGCAAGCCTTATTTTTTTGCATAGCGGAAATCAACCAAACAGAGAAACTTGGAGATTAGTCTACAAACATGTACATGCCTGTTCATAGTAGCACAGTTCAAACTATTTGGTTCTTTTCATTCCTGAATAGAAAAAATATGTAACTTCTTCTATTTATGTTATTCATAGCATAACTTGCTAAGAATTTTTCTGGTGCTTCGTATAAAGTATTTTTTGGTTTTGCTCTGTTAAGAAAACAGAGGAATCAAGCTGTAGCAAATCTGAACATGCAGTTATTGTTTTTTCCTCTATTCTCGCACGCACTATACATATCGGCCATTGTGAGCCACTCCTTTTCCAGATCTGTTCAGATGTGTTTTCCTCAGTTGATCCAAACTACAGAAAGAGGCTTAATGTAGTTGGGTGATGTAGTTTTTGGGTCTTATGCTAGTGTATGTGTGCACATCAGGTTCAGTAACATGCCAAGAATATAGAAACTAGGGTTATAGCATTTGAATTTCTTTTCTTCTTCTTTTTTGGTAAATCTGTCAGTGTTGTACCTTGTGGCAACTTTTTTTGGAGGATTTATGCATACTTTGTCATAATAATAATAATAATGATAAGTAAAAGCATGCCTTTTTATTTGCTTGTAATTATTTTACCCTGATGGGGCCTCTCAGTCATGTAGTGCCCCATTTTCTTTCTCTTTGTCTTCTAAGCTATGTTGGCTTCCCAGTTATGTCATATAATTGTTGTATTCATGCTGGGCCCACAAATGCGTTCTTTCAGACCTGCTGTTGTGAGGTTGGACAAGCTTTTTACGTTTCCATTTAACCTAACGAGAAGTTGTTGTTTTGTTTGTTTGTTTGTTTGTTTGTTTTAACACTTATTTGTGGACAGCTATGGTGTTTGTTTACACATGTACACATGCCTTGAGTTGCCACCTAACATCAAGTTTCTAGTTTGAAGTGCCACACCAGGGGTCGGCAACCCAAATGTTAAGAAGGGCCATTTTGTCCTTTCAATAAAAATCAAACCACCGACACAAAACACAGACTTACTTTACTCTGCTTTAAGCTTTAGCTCAGCTAGCTGCTTTTCTCGCATCTCCAGCGATCTCCAATCTTGTTAAATGTCTCTTAACGATTTACTTTTTACAAGGCTGAAGTCAGCGTCTCGTTTGCCAGCCTCTTGATCCAATTTTCCCGTTCCACCTTGCCAGAATGTAACTGGTGCACGATTTAAGGTGGAACGGGAAAATTCGAACAAGCTGGTGAATGAGGAGCTGACTTCAGCCTCGCGACTCTTTAGCGTTTGACAGTTTTTTGTTGCAGATTAAACGTATCAGGAAACCAGATGGAGTGATTCTAAATGCAAATAAATCCATTAGTCTCCAAATTATCGATGTTTGTCTTAAATCTTTCTCTTTGCTGTTTCGTTAGCTACTAGCTAGGCGAGACTGTTGTCTGCGTTGCTGTGTGCCCAGCCGTCTGCACGCCAACCTTCAGGGTTTAAGGATGAATTAGCAGTTATACAATAACTCCAGCATTTCAGACCATTTATTGTTAAAACTGTTAGAACGATCAGCAGAGCTTTATTTTACTGTGAAAGAGGATTATTTTATATTTACTTTAAAATCTAACCCTGCTGTGGAGCCACAACAGGGCGGTTAAAAAAGCTGCACGCGGCTCTGGAGCCGCTTATTGCTGACCCCTGTGTTACACAAGCAAACTGAACTAAGCTGTTGTAGCAATTCAGGTTGGAAAATGAAAAATTAATATGGCACCATGCTAAATTTAACCCAATTACATGACAAAAATGCATGTCAGAGTTTCTTTGCAAATGTTTTGCCCACCAAGCAGCAGTTGCTGCGAAAGAACACATTTGTGGGCAGAGCATGAACAGGTCGAACTTCCTGCTGTTTTAGTTTACCATTATCTTAAAGCGTCTTAATGTTCACCGTTTTAGTTTTGAAAACTTGCTTCTTGTGAGGTTGTGTGTCTGAGTGAGTGCGCAGGTGATTGAGAGAGTTAATTCTGTGCGAGATGGAAATACCAGTTGCCAAACGCATCTACTATATAGAGATCATTGTTCTTCCAAAATAGCTGCATATGAACTCGCCCGTCATGCGCTCCAGAAAACAAGGCCAAGAAGAGTTGCCGGAATTTCTGATGGCAGCTGTGCTTGCCTCGATGATGACGTCATTTTTAAGCATCGACTCGGCCGTGCTAAGTGTGCAGTTGTTCCAAAAGTGTCTTGTCTTCGCTTAAAGGAGGCAGAGGGAGAGAGCAAGAGTGAGTCTGAGATTCCTGAGATGCTGTCAAGTTTCTGTGAGCTTCAGGCTGAAAGAATCTACATCGGTTGTCCTCAAACTCCACTGTCTCACGTCACTTTCACAAGAGAATGGAAAAAGTAAGGTTCTGATAAGTTCAAACTATGTGATGGGGACAGAATACTAGTACTGCGATTCTATTGCAATATGCTTTAAGTTATTACTTTTCTTTTGCCATTCTTTTTAAATACCGTTATATAATTACGACTTCACAGACATTGTTAATGATGTAGCGAATTACCTTTTACATTTGATTTGAATTGTTTTGACAGGTTTGAGTCTGCACTTCCAACCTTCTTAGCCAAATTAAAGCTGTGAAAAATGTGGCAAAAACAGAACAATAATTCTTCTTTTCAATAAAACAAGATGGACAGAACAGAAACCCCCCAATTCCCACCAGTTTTGACCCAAAACACTTCCAGTAGAAGCCATTGGGTGGATACTGAAGTACCTGTCCCATTGACTTGTATTAGAAGTGATTTCCAAGTTAACCAGTTTTCTTTCACTAGTGCAGGGAAACACGTCAAGATTATTGTCCATATTAATGGACACCATGGTACAGAAGTGGCAGACAGATTAGGTTGAAAAACGAGTGCAGGAATGAACAAGCAGGATGGCAGAGATTGCAGATAGGAACACGAACCAAGTTAGCATTGTCTGCACTGAGACGTGTGCTACATTTTGTATAACCTTGTGAACTTTTGCTTGACCTCTCTGTAAGCCATATTCATATTCCTCGTTAGAGTCCAGGTCATTGAAGTTAAAGAGGACAGCACATGTATCAGTGATGTTCCTACTTGGGGTCATTATTAAAATTCAGCTTTTGAAGAGTCCTATTGCTCTCGTTCATGCCAACTCTGCATGCATGAAGAAGATACCGACTTCACTTCTTAAAGGTAAACTCTACTTGAAACAAGTACACACAAAGTATAATGGAAATGATGTATATGTATTTAAATTATTACGTTGATTTTTATGCATTCCAATAAGTGTTCCAGAAGAATGTGCTCTATTTTGTTGCAAAGGCGATCCTGTAATTATGATTGTTGACATATTTTACGACATATTTTAACTGCTTAAAAGATGATAATTATGTTTGAAAATAAATGTTTTATCACCATGAGTTGTGTCAGTCTGGTTTGATATTTGGGGGAAAAATGACTAAGCAGGATTTGTCAAGTCAATTCAAGTCAAAGTTTATTTATATAGCGCTCTTTACGACAGAGCAACTTTACAGAAAAATCCGGGTCCAGGCCCCCATGAGCAAGCCGATGGCAACAGTGGCAAGGAAAACTCCGTAAGAGTGAGATGAGCCAAGACTCAAAAGGGGAACCCGTCCTCCTCTGGTCGATAGATGTTCTTCCTTAAGGTCAAGTCAAGCTCAGAGCTTGTTTACACCTTTCAGTAATATGAGTTTCATGTCTGGATCATATGTGGATGTATTTTGGCTGGATTCCATTTACACCATAATCATATAATTATACCACAATCTTATCCACAATGGTCAGATGTAGCTGCAGGTTTTCATTCCAAGCAAGCTGGAGCTCACCTGATTCCACTTGTTGAATCAGTTGGTCTCAGTCCTCAAACCACTGATCATGTGAGCTCCTGCTGTGTTGGAATGAAAAAGGGTAGCCACACGGGCCCTTTGCAGATTGGACACCCCAATTTACACTGTTCTAATTTTTCCCTGCAAGTTACCACACTTCAATCAAACGTTCAATACTATATTTCATGTCTCTTAAGTGATATATATAATGATGTTCTTAAAATAATCATTGACATCTAAGAAGGTAAAAAAGGTCAATTTTGACTTTAATGCTCTGTCAACTCGACTCAAACAAACGTTGTTAAAGAAGTTCTATACATTGCACACAACTGCAAACAGCTACAGTGAAAAGCACTTAGCCACAAAAGTTTTTATCAGCTGGAAAATTCATGAGGCCCTCTTTAGTTTGCTGTGCTTGCAGCTCTAACAGCGGCCACTAGGTGGCAGTGCATCTCTAAGAACAGTGGCTTCTGCTAATGCTTCCAACGTTGTCTCAATTCACTTGGATGTTTGTATCTGATCCCTCCATTTAGTAGGGCGGGTGAGCTCTTGTCCTGCTGGGCTACATTACTGCACAGTTTAGTGACTGTCCTGCTCTAGCATATTACTAAAGCCACCAAAGAAGCTTCTTATCATTTGAAAAAAGTTCAGCCTTTTCTGTCTCGCAGAAACTTGTTCATGCACTTGTCACAAGCAGAGTTGATAACTGTGATGCTCTTCTTACTGGGAATCCTTAGGAAACAATACATCATCTTTAACTCATACAAAATGCAGCAGCACAGATCCCAACTAAAACAAACAAACCAAAAGATCTTATTGCCACCGTTTTGCACTGGCTACCTGTATCTTTTAGGATAGTTTTTCAAATGCATTAGTTTTTAAAACTCTAAATGGCCTTTAAGCACCTGTGTAACTCACAGAATGTCTGTTTATGTTTCAGCACATGATCTAAGATCTGCAGATCCTGGCCTTCTGCAAATACCCTCCGTAACATACAGAAAACATGGAGAGGCCTGTTTCGGTTATTATCCTTCTAAACTGTGGAGCTCAGTTTCACCTTTTATTAGAGTCAAGCTCAGCGCTCACTTTTAAGAAGCATTTAATTTACCTTTCAATTAAATGTATGTCTTGTTTTGCTTATCTTTTTAAATTGATTAGTCATCACTTCATATGATTTAAATCAACACTAAACTCTCATTTATATCATTTTTTGCCTTATTGCTGTTACTGAACAGTATCTATAATAGATGAAAACCAAACTCAACTTTAATTTTCTTGTAGTGATTTTAAACTTTATCACTTGACTTTTAGCTGCCACCACTATCAAAAGTGCTCTATAAGAAAAGTTATTATTATTTTTCATTCATTATCTAAGCCACTTATCCTCCTGAGTGCTGGCACCCATCCCAGTGCTCACTGGGCGGAAGGCTGGATAAACCCTGGACAGGTCACCAGTCCATCACAGGGCAGACACACAGACATATACATTCACA